ATGAATACAGAGAAATAGCAAATAAGTTGAAGGAAATGACAGAACACTGCAGTATCAATTGATAATTATGTGAAGGTTTAGATTAGGTACCACACATTTATATTGACATCTAGCATCTAGTTTTAAGAAACTCTGTATGCATTTTTATTTGATAATCACACTTGATAATCATATCAGGCTGAGCTATATGCTGAGCAAGTCTTGTTATTTTTATTTTATGAAAGTCAAAAGATGAAGAATCATTAAATTCCTTAAGCTTGTAAATTTTATACAACTATAGCAGCACAACTATTTTGTAAATAGAATAAAAGTGAAATTATCAAACAAATAAAATTCAAATTAACATGGTAAGTGATGCTTTCCTAAAATTTAGCTTTCACTTCCTATGTTCTGTCTGCCACAGTGAAAGCCTCTTGGGTTTTGGCATCTCAGTACTACTATGTGCCCAGCCATATCTCAGGACTAGGACACACCTTTTCTTACTTACAAATCTAAGTAGACCTTTGATAACATATACTGCACACAGGTGCAGTGGCCCAGTGACAATAACTGTCATGAACAAGAGCACTTCATGTCAGCTTTTATACTCGAGGTTCACAAGTGAAGGTATAAAAGGAAAACAATGGAGAAAGGTTAACAACTTGATTAATTTCAGTCTACACGTCAGCATAGATTGATTGATCTCTTTCCTTATTTCCAAGTAAAAGTAATAAATTAAGTAGACTCAGTCTTACTGACTTTTTTGTTAATGTATCATAAGTGGATTGATGTAACTATATTGAGACCCTTCCATTTTCTCACAATTATTGTTATTATATTGATTGCTTACTTGGTTAATTCATTTCTTTGTATATCCATACCACAATCTTATCATGCTCAATATATAAGTAACAATTATAATGCATTTAACTAGTATATATTTTAATTAAAGCATTTTATGGTGAATCTTTCAGCTCTCTAATTTTTAAAAAAAATTTGTTAGTTTCAAGTATACAGTACATTGGTTAGACATCTATATAGTTTGTAAAATGATTCCCTCAATTGCTCCCTCTCTCCCCTGACCCTCTACCTAGCCAATGTATTAATGCTAATTGCATTCCTTATGTCACACTTCCTATCCCCCGTGATTATCCGTCAGCTACTAATCTGTACTTCTTTAACCCTTCATCCCATTCTCCCAGCCCTCCAAACCCTGCTCCCCTCTGTCCATCACCAAATTGTCCACTATATTTATGAGTCTGTTTTTCATTAGTTTGTTCTTTTTATTCCTTACATTCTGCATATAAGTGAAATCATATGTTTATCTTTCTCTGTCTGACTTAAATACATTCTAGGTTTATCACAGCAATATCTTTTTCCATTCCCTTCCTTTTCCTATGTAGCGGTCTTGTTTTCTTATCCTTTCAGCCACTCTAACCCTTGGTTGGAGCACTTAATTCTTTTCCCTTTAAGGTTCTTATTGATAGGAATGTAGTTGTTACCATTCTTTATTCCTGTTTTTGATACATGTTTTTAGTTCTTAAAGAAGTGTCTCTAACATTTCCTGTAATTCTGGCTTGGCGGTGATAAATTCATTTAGTTTGTTTTGTCTGGGAAGCTCTTTATCTGTCCTTCAACTCTAAATTATAGCTTTGCTAGATAAATTATTCTTGGTTGTATATCCTGTGTCTTCATTCTTTTGAAAATTTTTTGCCAAGCCCTTCTGTCCTGTGTAGTCTCTCTTGAGAAATCAGCTGCTAGTCATATGGATGTTCCTTTATATGTAATTATTTGTTTTTCTCTTGCTTTTACAATTTTTTTCTTTGTATTTAACCTTTGGCATTTTAATTATGATGTGTCTTGGTGTTGGCCTCTTTGGATCCCTGATTTTTGGAATCCTCTGGGATTTTATGTCCATTTTCTTCACCAGGTTAGGGAAGTTTTCCATCATGATTTCTTCAAACAGCTGTTCTACATTTTGATTTTCTTCACTTATGCCAATCGGATGAATATTTGGAGCCTTAATAGTGTCCCATATCCTCCTTAAATCATCTTTATAGTCTTGACCTCTTTTTTCTTGCCATTCTGTTTGAGTGTCCTGATTCCTGTCCTCTGGAAAGTGCATGTGATCCTCTTCTTTATTCACTTCGTTTATTCCTTTGTTTATTTCATTTAATATACTTCTCATCTCAGATAATGTGTTCTCCATTTCAGACTGATTCCTTTTATAATTTCCACTTCCGTTTTTATGTTTTTTATCTTTTTTGTTGGAGTTCTCTACATTTTCCAAAAGTTCATTGAGCATCTTTATAACCCGTGTTTTGAACTCTGCATCTGTTAAGTTACTTGACTCTATTATATCTGGATCTCTATTCTGTTCTGTCACATGGTTTCTGCTTCTTTGTCTTCCCATGTTGGCTTTCTTTCCATGTCTATTTCTATGTACTAAGCAAAGCTCCTAAGTTTCCTGACCTTATTAGTGTGAATTTGTAATGTAGGTGTCCAGTAGCACAGTCCTAATAAGAGGGGTTCAGCTGCAGGCCAAAGTTAGCCCAAGCCTCTGTCCCTCCGGGGCCACCTGTCAAGATTTAGCAAGCAATCCACAGATGTTGTGCTTATAGTTGCCTCAAAAGGTCACACCAGAAACCAAGGCACTACTCGGCAAGGAGCACTTGACTCATTGAGAATACACCTGGATGTGGCTTGGGTGGGGTCATGGGTTGGGGGAGATGGGGTTTCAAGGAATCCTCTGGCTGAATGACCCCTATTATCCAATTTGATGACATCACAGTTATGATGGCACTGTGTCCCCACACTGGGACGGGGGAGGGCTCTAGTAACAATGGATACCGCTGGCACTTCTGTACCGAGAGAGTCTCGCCTAGACCCTCTCTCTGACAATATCTCCTTGTAAATCCCTCGTGCCTCATGTGTGCAGTTGGAGAGGCACTGGTGCTCAGAGTGAGCAGGTGTGCCGCTGCCGCTGCTGCAGCCTCTGTCTCACTCAGCTGCTGGGGACTCAGCAGTCCCGCGTCCTTGCCCAGTCCTACCTTTTGTCGTTGCACGGTGCTTTCTTGGATTTCTCCCTAGTTGTATGGCTTGTTAATCTAGATCCCAGGTGATTTTTCCTTGCTGCTGCTTCTTGTTTCTGTCGCAACTTTGATTTGGTCGTCAGAGGGGTGAACACAGCCTCTATCATCTACGTCATTTTGAAGCCCAGTCCTCATTTCTCTAATTTTTACATTAATCACTCTTTTCAGTTTCCATCGATGTGTGTGTCCAGCCAATTCTAACTGCTAAATATGACATTCCATATTGTGTATCCACTGTATTTTTTGGTGCACACTTCCATTGCTTCACAATTTTTCTTCAATTCCTTCCACAAAAAGTTACAATGAACATACTCACTTATACCTCTTTTGGATTTGTATGAGAATTTATCTGCATGTACATTTTATTTCTGAGATTAAAGTGATTTTGAACATCTTATGTACTTATTAACTTTTGGGATTTCCTCTTTTATTACTTGTCTATATATTTTTTTCTTAGATTTAGAAATTGCAAATATCATTATCCATTATGTCATTTGTCTATAACTTTTTACCTTTTTTATTCATGTTCTTTCTTGAATACAAATTGTTAATTTCATATAATCAAATCTATCGATTTGTTTTTTTTAAAAATTGTATTTAGCTAATACATGGTCAATCTAAGGTGTTTTTTGGACTAGAAAAGGCAACGCTGACTTTCTGGAGAGTAAATATTATATACAGGATAAAATTTGATTTGAATTGACATTGTAGTCTCCAACTCAACTATTACACATAATCTGGTTTACTAATAAGGGCTTATGACAGAGTTATTGACTTTACTGTTCTTATTATAATTTTTATACTGCTGGTGCTTATTTTCTTGAAAATTTTTTTATGTTAGTGGTCTTTTTAGAACACTTAATCAATCTAGCATGTGTATATTATCATAATGTAAAAGAATTTTCTCATAATGTCCACGTGTGGAATGCTATCTGGACCCATCTATTGTAAAATATATAAACATAAATATACATACATTAACATATATAGATATACATATATAATGTTTTAACACTATATTGTATTGTATATAATATAGTGTATTATATGTCATATATTGTATTACAATATATATATTAATATGTAACTAATATTATGAAAAATGTATTCTTATTTTTATTTAAATTTTTCATCTCTCTTTTATTTCTCCTTAATAATATTATTTTCCAACTTAATTTTTGAAGGTATACTTACTCTTGCTTTCAATATTTAGTAGTGTTAAAAAGTTATTATTTTAATTGTCTGTCATATAATTTTTTGTACTTTTAATGGTCTCAAAAATGAACTAAAAATAGGAGCATGCTTAATTATTTTTCTTATATGAATTTTAGATATTTTATTCACAATCATTTTTATTTTACATTATTTTCCTTTAAGGTTAAACTCCTAAACCATCATCTGGAGAAGATTTAATATGTTGAAAATTATCAACTCAAGTGAAAATCTTTTGTTTATGATATTCAACTTGACAGTAGTTGAAGAGCTATAGAAACAGTATGGATTATTTTTCACTGATATCTTACTGAGAGTTCAATTCTTGCTTTAAGAAACCTCTATATGGCTGTGATAATATTTAATTTGTTTTAATGTTTAATGTTAAAGCAAGGTGGCTGAAAAGATAGGCATTTTTATCTTCTCCAAGATGACAAATTGCTAACACACTTGAATCCCATTTGAATCAGTGTTGTAAAAAAAGAAAATATTTCACATAGCTTTACTAGATTTTGGAATGTTTTAATTCCCTAAATAGCATTGTTATTGTTAGTGGAAGCTTGGCTTCAGGATAATTGCCTACCTCTCTGCAGTGGGCGACATCAAAGGCATATTGTACAACATTTTTATTTAGATGTTTTTCTAATGCCATTTATGTCATATCATTCTTAATTTAAAGATATGTTTGATACTTTTCATCATGCAATTGATTTTTAAAGCAATACAGAGTAGACAAGTTGGAGATGACTGTTGAGTTATCTATTCTTGATACTGTACAGAGGGTTGACAGTACAGTTAACTCCACATGAAGACATTTATTTTCACAGTAAGAATTTATCTTTTTTTTGATTACAAAATTGTTTTCACTTCAATTCTACTTAACTTTTATAATCTCCATAAATCACAATGGGAATAGCACATAAGATTGCCAAAGCATGTTTTCTTCACTCTGTGTGCATGTACTCCCATCTGAGCTAGCCATCATTGTCAGTTCAGCCTCAAAGAGACAGAAACTTGCTCCTCATAGAATCTAAATGGCATTAATTTATGTCACAGATTCACCCTTTATGGTCCTACAGTAGGTCCTACCAGACAATGGGCTCTATTATGCCAGCATCCACCAGTGTCAGACCCAGTGCTTTTGTCAGTCCATGAATTGAAAGTGATAGTCAAGCCGAACACACCTGGTCATAAAATGTTAGTCCACAGGTGAAAATTTTGCTTAGAATATGCAGTATTTTGGCTTATTGTAGTTTGAATCGGGACATCTTTAGACTAGTGAAGACTTTCAGTTTTATAAACACCCCAATTGTTCTAATGGAGGCACCTAGGATATTTTGCAACAATCTGAATGTATTAAATAAAACATGATTATTGTATTCATACTCAAATAAAATATATACCCAGTCTTCACAATTGTTGGTCATAAAGGAACATCTTAAAATGCCAAGTATTGCCCTGCACCCTGCTTTCCCACAAATAGTATGGCATGATAGTCACAGATGGCTGTTCTACAACCATATAGCCAATGTTTATTCGTATTGTGATTCCTCACTTCATCACTATCTGGGTGACCTTGGGCAGGTAACTAAACATCTTTGAACCTCAGATTTCTCGCCAATATAATTGGGATCATTATAGGATGTATTTTCTAGGAGGATTGACTAAGTTAATAGAGAAAAAGTGCATAGGGGATTAGACATGCCTCAGCTGATCAAAATCTCTAATACAGTTTCACATTTTCAATGACTTTAATATTATTTTTTAACTCACTTAGTTCAGGTCTCATAATGTGTATAAACCAGTATTGTGTGCTAGTCAGTGGGCTTGGTGCTTGAGATATAAAGACGAGTAAAGCATCATCTCATTTCTAACACAGTCTTTCTTTAGTAGAGGAGACACTGTCAGCAATTTAAGTACATTTTGTGTATGTAATGGATGCATGTAATGAAACAGAACAGAAAAGATGGCAGCTTGTCAGAGCTGTCAGGGAAACTTTAAAGGAAGAGTGATGCCTAAGCAGGAATTTAAAAGTGAGGGGAAATTTCCAGGCAGTTACATTTTGGAAAATAAAAGACAGAAAGTGCCACACATACTATTTTAGAGGGTTTAATGAGTCTCTAGGACCCATACAAGGACCCCGCAAGTTTATGAACACACTGATGTTACTTTTTATAGAAAACTATTTCGATCTTTAAGTCATTAAAAATATATCTTTAAAATTCAGCACTGTTACTGGCATTTGGGATTCACTTATTAACAAATTAGGAAAAGAATCCACAGCTACCCTTATATCCTGGTGATAGAGCTTTCATTCTCAAACATTTAGAAAATGTAACGTTCTTAAATGCACAGTAGATGTGAGATTCTTGGATTCTGAAGTTTTTCCTTGTAAAGGGTAATATCTTTTGTCATTTGCAGAAAACCTCACACTCCTAGTGATCGGCTGGCTCAGTTTGTTATCCTCATGATCCATTTACTGTATAAACAGCAAAAGTGAGAGAGATTTTTGAGCCCACACTTCCACTGATCCAGGAACACATGAAGTAGGGGCTCACTGCTGATTTGGAGGGCAGAGGTCAGCATTCTGTTCTAAGCCTACTACCCATAGCAAAACTGACTAGTCCTCAGCTGTTAATCTCCAGATCATCATGTCATTTAGAAATTAATTTACTCACCACTTTTATCAAATGAATGCAGGTATTTCTCATAACTGTAATTCAAAAATAAGGATGATAAATATATGCTCAAACTTGTCAACTTTTGCCATTTATATATGTCAAGTAAATCTAGAGGACTTATTTCATGTGAACATACTTTTGGAATCTGAAATATATCCCTGAGGTAATGTTTCTCTGTTTATTATTGTAATCATCAAGTTATTCAGTGAATTTATATGCATTCCTTCCACCACCTATAAATCTATAACATATGTATTCTTACCCTCTTCTCCCTCTCGCTCTCCCTCTCTCCCTCTCTTTCTTTGCAATACTGAATGTGATCCTTTGCCATACATTGTTCTGAGTACAACATCAATGTCTACAGTCTTACTTTTCTTTACTCCCTTTAGAAAAACTGAGATATGATATTGAAGGCCTATTTGTGTGCTTGGCTCACCCCTTAGATGCTCTAAACAATTACTCCAAAGTACATTTGACAACCCTAACTGTCCATTAAGTCTTACATTTTGAAAGCTTCCATAACCTAAATATCCAAGTGAAATTTTCACATTAGTCCATATTGGCAGTTTAATTAAACCTCCAGTTATTTAATTTTGAACCACATCAGGTATGAGTGAGTTATGGTCAGGTCTACAAAACACCTAGCTCTACATCTTTCTTCAGCTCCAGGTGAAGGTTGGGTCCATGAGTCTATCTGGACATCTTTGAGTTCAATTTTTCAGGAATAACTTAGTCTAAATCTATAATTAAGAAATTAGAAACAATCACTATCTGCATTATCTGAGATATAGCTTTGCTAAAATAGGCATCTGATGTTCATGATGATCATTATACTAAACCAAATATATCTTCTTATGTATTCAAGAACTTTAACAATTTTTCCCCACAAAAAATTGTTATATTATTCTATCTCTATTTTATCATTTTTAAAGTTAAAGGCCTCCTTCCACCCCACAGGAGCAGCTTGCCCTTAAAGTGAACTCAGTAACCATGTCTTGGTATATAGGAATATTATTGTATCTGTCTAAGATTAAGATATCCCAGGGTCCAGCCAGAGACAGGCTAACACAGATAAAAGTCAAATAGTCCTGATATCATTAGCCAGTTCCTGATGATTAAATAGATAATGACTCTCAGCATGCAAGTCTTAGTGAATAATTCTTTGCACATTTGAGATAATGCTGCAATTTTAATCTCTGTTAAATGAGTGTCTCCAAGGCACAGTTGGCAGCTTGTGGTAGTTTAAAAGTTACTGCTTAATCCTGTCATATCAAGTATCTTTTAGTTAATAGTCACATCCCACATCAGCACACCTTAGATTCTGTCTTCTAGGAGAAAAAAAAAAATCTACAAAGAATAATTCTAAAATGGAAAAAAAAAATGATTTACAGTCCTGTGATGAGGATGAACAAATCCTTACCAACATTATATTGGTAAAGTCACAGAACATGTCTCTTCTTCCTTTGTGTTCATTCTAGCAGTTAGTCATTGATCATAACATAGATATCACTGAGCAATTCCACTATCTTTGGAAACCGTTATAACTATCTTTCCCCTAGTTTTATTGGAACTTTTAGTTTTGCCCTAATGAAACATTGTTGGATGTAATGATTTCTGCTCCGCCAGAGTGACCTGTTCCCCACTGCACCTAGAGTTTGAGTTTCTCCCCTCTCTCCATCTCTAGGACACTTCTCTTCATTGTTCTGGCTGCTCTGCTTTCGGAATTCTACTGCAATGACTTGGTGTTCCCACACTACCGCAGCCTCATTGCCAGTTTATCTGGATGCAAAGTCCACAAGTATGTGCCAAACTGCTCTGACATGTGTTTCCATCGTAAGTACTGAGCCCAGGATGGAATGTGCAACAATCTGCAGCACCCCAAGTAGGGCGTGGCCACAATGGCCTTTGAGCGCATCCTGAAACCCATCTATGAGAACGGCTTCAACTTGCCCCACGAGGTTGGCCACCATGCATGGCCCAGTGGGTATCCTCTTCTGTCTAGCCTGGTCTCCAGAGTTGGCGGCCATGGCAACTATTACCCTTGACAAGAGATACACATACATGTAGTGGGTCCGGTTTTTAGACCACGATTTACATCACATGGTGCCTGTATTAAGCATGTCTCACTTCTCTACTGGGCAGCCATACAGCTTTGTGTGCACTAATGACCCTTCATGCTTCCCCATTGTCATTCCTCACACTGACTGACACTCAGGGATCCATGCAGCATACACGTTCTTTGCTTGCTCCAGCCCTGTGCATGATATCAGCACGACCTCCTTGGTGATGAACTCGGTGTACACTTGGGAATGGATTAACCAGCTCACAGTATTCATTGATGCCTCTAATATTTATGGGCGCTCAGTGAAGGAATCCCATGTTCTCAGAGACCACTCAGAGCCCTGGGGACTCCTAAGGGTAGGCTTACCTTGGGCTTCTTTAGGAAAGTATTTCCTGCCCTTTTCTACAGGCCCACCCACTGAGTGCACAAGCAAGATAGTAACAGTCTCTGTTTCCTGTCTGGCGACCACAGGGCCAATGAACAGCTGGCTCTCACAGTCATGCATAAGGCTATGGTTCTGGGAACACACCAGGGATGCTGCAGAGCTGTCTGTCCTGATAAAGGGAATGCAGACACTCTTTATCATGAAGCCAGGAAGATTGTGGGTGCTGAGCTGCAGCACATCACCTATAGCCACTGGCTGCCCAAGATCCTGGTGGTACCTGGCAAGAAGATGCTGAAGGATTACCAGGCAATCAACAGCTTTAACTGTTGCTCATGATCATCACACCTCAACACTTAAAATATTATTAAAAAGTTAAAGAATTATTTAATCATAAAGTTTTGTCTGTAGTTAGCTTAATATAGAACACTAACATAAATCCCAATAGATGAAGGTACATTAATATGAAATCTTTCAGAGAAGTTTAAAATTGTTTGCAAATTATCTATATATAAAATGCCACTAGAATTTGTGCCATGCTTATGTAGAATATCAAACTGTGAAAATGTATAATATATTTAAAATAAATCTGAGTATCATACAGGTTAAATTTGAAAGATTCTACTGAAAAGAACACTGATTTTAGATTCATAGAGACTGGTTTAAATTTCTATTTTCATTTAATGCTGAGGGCTTGTAAAAAGTATTTAAAGCGTTTGAATCAGAATATCTATAAAATGAGAACATATTGCTTCCTCAGAATTGTTTAAAAATAAAATTATATAAAATATATAAAATATCTAGTCCAGTTAAGTTGCATCATGGGTAATCAATGTGTTACCTATAGACAGTTTTATTATAACATTCTCATTTTACTTGTTGGCATCATTATATTGCATAGCTGCTATGATCTAGCCTTGTGCTAGGCTCTGAGACGAAAGAAATAGCATCACTGTTCTGTAGAGCCTGACAGCATGCAGAGAAGGCAGGAGCTGCTGCAATCAGTATAAAAAGGGCCGTCATAGAGATGGGGATTGAACGTATAGGAACAAAGAACTCAGAAATGAAAGGTATGTGGGAGATTCACAGCAAGCTTCTGATAAAAGATGCCATTTGATCTGGTCTTGGAATTTTCTGTGTGTAATAAGTTAGATGATTCCTTGAATTCCAGGGAGAGGAATAGAAGCAGAAAATTGTGGTGTTGAATAGCAGAGAAGGAGACAGAAGGGTGTTATGGGACGGCTTTTAAAGGCCATGTGTGCCAGGCAAAAAATTTAGATTTTCATCGTGTGTTTAACTCTAAATCAAGAGAGTGACAATATGGAATAATTTTTTTTTCTTTTCCTTTTTAAAATTTCAATTAGAGTTGACCTTCAATATTATTTTATATTAGTTTCAGGTGTACAGCATAGTGATTAGACATTTATATCATTTACGAAGTGATCCCCCCATTTGGTCTAATATCCACCTGGCGCAATACGTAGTTATTACAATATTATTGTAATATATAATAATATTACACTCCCTGCCCTTTTCTACAGGTCCACCCACTTATATTCCCTATACTGTACTTTACATCTCAGTGACTATTATTTAACTACTCATTTGTACTTCTTAATCTTTTCGCTTTTTTAACGCAACCTCTCAACCCCCTCCCATCTGGCAATCACCAGTTTGTTATCTGTATCTATAAAACCATTTTTGTTTTGTTAATTTATTTTGTTCCTTAGATTTCACAGGTAAGTGAAATCATATTGTATTTTATCTTTCACTGTTCGACTTATTTCACTGAGCATAATATCCTCTAAGTTTATCCATGTTGTTACAAACAGTAAATTTTCATTTTTTTATGGCTGAGTAATATTCCATTGTATATATGTACTACCTCTTCTTTATCTAATTGTCTATCGATGGGCACTTAGATTGCATTCATATCTTAGCTATTGTAAATAGTGCTGCAGTAAACATAGAAGTGCACATATTTTTTCAAATCAACGTTTTGATTTTCTTTGGGTAAATAGGCAGAAGTAGAATTACTGGCTCATAAGATAGTTCTATTTTTTATTTTTTGAAGAACTTCCAAATGTTTTCCCTAGTGGCTGCACCAATTTGCAGTCCCACCAACAGTACATAAGGGTTCCCTTTTGTCCACATCTTCGCCAACACTTTCTTTTTTTCTTCCTTTTTTAATTGATTTATTGATTATGGCCATTCTGATAGATGTGAAGTGATATCTCATTTTGGTTTTAATTTGCATTTCTCTGATGATTAATGACATTGAGCATCTTTTCATATGCCTATTGGCCATCTGTATGTCCTCTTTGTTAAAAGTTTATGAATTTTGCTTATGTTTTCAAAGTACCAGCTCACGGTTTCATTGATCTTTTGTATTGTCTCTTTTAGACTCTATTTGGTTTATTTCCACTCTGATCCTATCATTTTCTTTCTTCTACTCATTTTGGGCTTTGTTTGTTTTTCTTTTTTTAGTTTCTTTAACTGTAAGGTTTGAACATTTATTTGATACATATATTTTTTTGTTTCTTGAAGTAGGCCTGTATTATTATAAATTTCTCTCTTAGGACTGTTTTCTCTGCATTCTATAGATTTGGGATCCTTGTGTTTTGATTTTCATTTGTCTCAAGGTATCTTTTTTTTTTTCTTTTTTGATCTCATTGTTAATCCCTTCATTGTTTAGTAGCATGCTATTTACCCTCCATGTGTTTGTGGAATTCTTTTTAGTTTTTTCTTATAATTGATTTTGTTTCATTCCATTTTGATAGGAGATATGATTTCAATCTTCTTAAACATATTGAGACTTAATTTATAGACTAATATATGGTATCTCTTGGAAAATATTCCATGTGCACTTGAGAAGAATGTATATTCTGCTGCTTTGGGGATAAATGTTCTAAAAATATATCAATTAAATTCATCTGATGTAGTGTGTCATTTAAGGCTGATGTTTCCTTGTTTATTTTCTGTCTAGAAGATCTGTCCATTAGTGTCAATGGGGTATTAAAGTTCCCTACTGTGACTGTATTACTGTCGATTTCTCTATGTCAGAAATATTTGCTATATATATTTAAGTGCTCCTGTGTTGGGTGTATAAATGTTTACTAGGATTATATCTTCTTGTTGAATTGATCTCTTTATTATTATGTAATGTCCTTGATTGTCTCTTATTACAGCCTTTGTGTTTTAAAGTCTATTTTGTCTGATATAAGTATTACCTCTCTAGCTTTTTTTTTTTTCATTTTCATTTGCAACAGATATCTTTTTTCATCCCTTTACTTTCAGTTTGCGTGTGTCTTTTGATGTGAAGGGGGTCTCTTGAAGACAGTATATATATGGATCTTGTTTTTTTATTCATTCACCTTCCTTATGTTTTAAGTGGAACATTTAATCCATTTACATTTCAAGTAATTATTAACAGCTACAAAGTTATTTTCATTTTATTGTTCACATTTATGTTCTTCTCAATGCCTTCACCTTTTCTGCTTAAAGAAGTCCCTTTAAAATTTATTGTAATACTGGCTTAGTGGCAATGAATTTCTTTAGGTTTTTCTTGTCTTGGAAGCTTTTTAACTCACTTTCAATTTTAATTGACAGCCTTGCTAGGTAGGGTAATCTTGGTTGTAGGTACTCGCTTCATGTCCCTGAATATTTCATGCCAGTTTCTTCAGGCCAGCAAAGTTTTTATTGATAAATCAGCTGACAATTTTTTGGGAGCTTCCTTATAGGTAACTAACTGCTTTTCTCTTACTGTTTTAAGATTCTCTCTTTGTCTTAAACGTTGTCATTTTCGTTTTGATGTTTCTTGGTGTGAGTCTGTTTGGGTTCATTTTGTTTGGGACTCTCTTCATTTGAACTTGTATGTCTATTTCCTTCACCAGGTTAGACAAAAAATTCAGTCATGATTTCGTCAAATAGCTTCTCAATCTCTTGTTCTTTTTATTCTCCTTCTGGTACCCCTGTGATGCAAATGTTTTTACATTTGATGTTGTCCAAGAGGACCCTTAAAGTATTCTTATTTTTTTTATTCTCTTTTCTCAACGCTATTGCGATTGGGTGTTTTCTACTATCTTGTCTTCCAAACTGCTGGTTCAATCCCATCTTCATGTAATCTGTTGATTCCTTCTAGTATATTCTTCATTTCAGTTTTTGAATTCTTTGTTTCTAACAAATCATTTCTTATGCTTTCTATGTCCTTTTTCATGCTTACTATTTCTTTATTGATGTTCTCACTGAGATTATCTATTCTTCTAAGTTCACTGAGCATCCTTAAAATTAGGGTTTTGAACTCTATATCTGGTAGGTTGCTTGCCTCCATTTCATTTGGTCTTTTTCTAGAGTTTTGTCTTGTTCTTTCATTTGGAACATGTTTCTTTATGTTCTCACTTTGGCCGCCTCTGTGTGTTTGTTTTTATGTTATAGGTAGATCTGCTATGTCTCCTGTCTTAACCAGGCGGTTTATATGATAGGTGCCCTGTGTGTCCCAGTGGCACAATCTCCTTGATCACCTGTACCAGGTGCTCCAGGAATGTCCCTTTTTGGGGTTGTGTGTGCTCTCTTATTGTTATTGAGCCTTGATTGTTGTTGGCATGTCAATGGGTGGGACTGACTCTCAGGCTTACTTACTGTGAGGACTGGCCACAACCACAGCGTGTGAGCATCTGTGTTGGAGGTGACCGCAGTAAGTGGGACTTGCTCCAGCAGGCTCGTGTGCCTGTTGAGGCCACCCTTTAGGTGTGCCACTTGTGAGGCTGATCAGGCCACCCTTTAGGTGTGCCACTTGTGAGGTGCTCATTTATTGTTCAATTCACTTCAGTAAGATTGGGTAAGTACTTTGGATTCTCCTCAAGGCCCTCACAGCATAGAGTTTGAGGGACACACACACTACATAATTCTGTTGTGTGACATATGGAGCAACAGGATCCAGAGATCGGGATGGATTTCTTTGAGAATGTGGTGTGAAAACTGGGTCCTAAAAGAATAGTGGCAGTTATCTGTGAAAGACTATAATCTGAGAGAGGATGGACAGAGGTTATTTAAGATTTTAAAAATATAGAAAATACCCGTTACCAGTGTCAGTGTGATAAGCATGAGAAACTAAAAGCTATCAGTCATGCTGGCTTATAGAATGTGCTGCACAAAAGAGTCTAATCCTTGAAGAAGCAACAGACTCATTCCACTCCAAGGACATTAAGTCTTATGGGGGTGGCAAAAGTTCAGAAATAACAGAAGTAAAACTACTGAATCATCAAAGTAGTAATTAGTAAAAGTTCATTGTGCACACACCAAAAAGTTTGTAATCTGGGGATACTCAAACCAAAACATGGCATGAGGATATTATAAAGCAGCTTATATAGTAGGAAAGGAATAACTGTTTTCTCTTCACAATAATAGGTTATAATATTAGAATTTTCAGTAGTTATCTTATGTCAACTTTGGAAAACAGTTGAAGATTTGCTTCTGATCTCCTAAGGCATAAACAAGAAAAGACCCAAGTCAGAGTCATCTTGCAAAATAATCTAAAGCTTTGCTGTGTGACTAAAATGGTTTTGTCTGTCCAGGAAATTTTCAAGGTTGGTTTCTTTTATTTTTTATTTTTTTTTTGTTTATCATCTGCTTCATCCATCAATGGATCAACTCGACTCTTTTTTCCTAGGTGACATTGTATATAGAGACTTGATAGATAAAGGAGGTAACTACAGGAGTCTGGAAGAAGCAGGTGGGTAGTTTTTGACCCCATGGTTTCTGCTCACTTCACTTCTCGTGGACCCAAACCCAAAGCCTTTTTGAGAAGTCTTTGTAAAATCCACAGGGTTTTTTCTTCCTTTTGTACCAAAAGCTGCAGGCAATTTGGGGGATATTTTTGGACAAAAGCATTTTATTTCTTACAGTTGTTTTAGTTAAAGGCCGTATGAAAATGAATTATTCTTTCTTTATAGGATTACTTTTGCTCTAAAAAATCATACCATTTTTATTTTTTGCAAAACATATAGAGAGCAGAATGTGAAAATTAATTATCCATGGAATAGCGAACATAAATTCTCAGAGAGAGAGAAGTCATTTAAAAGCTATTTCTGAATTATCTTTTGAAAATAGAATGTGCGTACTTTTTGTAGATGTGGTTACTTTTAGTTCTTGGGTAAGCACGTTTGTCACCCATTATCACAGATTGCCTCAGTTTTTTTTAAAGAATAGCTTATAATTAATCAACTGTGTAATTTCTATTCACCTATCCCATAGCTGCTTCATTTGATAATATAATAAAACAAACAAACAAACAAAACAAATACTTAGTTTCCCCCCTCTACCATTAGATACCATGAGGTCATTCTCTGCAATGATACCCTCTCAACAACTTGCACCATTTGTCTCTGATTTCCTGCCATCTCAGTGAGTTTGGCCACTTTTCTCATAACTTGGCCTTCCTTCTGCAGGATCTCTAACTCTCATTCTTCTAAATGTTTCTTGACTTTCATATTTGTACTTGCCTCAAAGGACCTTTCATCAACATTATCCCTTAAGTTTTACTATATAGTTCGTAGGTGTAGAAGCAGCAATTTTAGTTGCTGTAAAACAGTGATTTTTATTTTTAACCATTTCATATAAGACCATTTTACAACTCTGATAGAAGCTATGAATCTTTTTTTTTGTTTTTTTGCAGATAAACACAATAAAACTACATACCTAAAATTCTGCATATATTTTAGAGGCACCATATATACTCTTCTTTCAATGATTTAACAAATATGTATTTTGCACCTATATTTATTTAGCATGCCTTTTCTCCCCAGGGCTTACCAAGCATACAAAATAGGTGCTCTTCCACTTTGTATTTCCAAACAGCTTCTCTCTTACCCAAAAAGTAGGCCCCAAATTTAAAACTACTATTAGTTCTTATTTCTTGCTCAACTATTCTTGTCTTCTATTCCTTTTGGAGGAAACAATTTTATTTTTTTAGTTGCAGAAGGATACTGGACTGTTTTAATATAACGAGGCTTCCAGACGACCAGTATTTTCTCCCCACTTCTTAATTCTGCTTCTTTCTGTTCAGGATTTATTTCTCTTTCTCCTTCAGCTCTCCTACCTTTTGTTTTATATATATGGTACACTAAAGATGACTCTGCCAGAGATTCCAAGTACTCCACAGTCTTTCATGGTATAGCTAACACTAGAGTACTGAGCAGCATATTTTTTCTAAACAATAATTTGATAAGTGTATTATATTGTACCATTACACCGAGTCATATTGTTTGATTTTAAATGCCATTTTTAGAGCCTTCTCTGTTCTGGTCATTTTTATTTCATCATGTTTCTGCCTTTCTAGAAAAAATATTAGTTTAATGATGAGATACCAAGAGTATGTCCTCTGTGTTAACAGATAATTTTCTAATTTTTCTTTGAATCCCCAGAACTAAACACAGGGCAGAACACAATAGAGCAGCTCAATAGACACTATATAATTTATTAGGGGAAATGTGATCCTCCTGGTGAGGTTCATTTTAGTTCCCCAA